TCATTTTTGGTAAAAGTGATATTTTCAACTTCTTGTTAGAAACCGCAAGTCCAATTGCTTTGATATTACATATATAGGTACTACATGTGGACCACTCTCAAATTTGTTCATTTCATAATGATATCTTTAATTTTCTAATTTTGGTGAATATTTTTGTCATTTTTGGTAAAAAGTGATATTTTCGACTTCTTGTTAAAAACGACAAGTCCAATTGCTTTGATATTACATATATAGGTACTACATGTGGACCTCTCTCAGATTTGTTCATTTTGTAATGATATCTTTAATTCTCTAAATTTGGTGAATATTTTTGTCATTTTTGGTAAAAAGTGATACTTTCGACTTCTTGTTAAAAACCACAAGTCCAATTGCTTTGATATTACATATATAGATACTATATATGGACCACTCTCAAATTTGTTCATTTCATAATGATATCTTTAATTTTCTAATTTTGATGAATATTTTTGTCATTTTTGGTAAAAAGTGATATTTTCTTCTTGTTAAAAACCACAATCATTTGTGGTCAAAAATGATATTTTTGAATTCTTGTTGAAAACAGCAAGTTCCATTGCATTGATACTATGCATATTGTTCATTTTCTAATGATATCTTCTGTTCTTTAATCGAAATGTGCATTGCTAACAGCGGAGCTATCTCAGCCGAGAGACTGCTTGTATTGCTTTAAATTGTTTCTTTAAAGATAACTGATTATAAGTGACTTCCATATCTTAATTAAAGGATGACTTTCTTCCCCACCCTGTGCTGAAGTGCCCCAACCCTATGAATTGATCTCCCCTACCATATGCTATTTCCTATCTTAGGCTGTGATCTGTCTCACCTATATAATGATATTGTCTCTCTATGATTTGTACACCCTGACATATATATCTATATATTGTATGCCTGAAGTACACTACATATTTTCCACTTCCTCTTGGAAACCACTAGACCAATAATTATGCTACCTGATATGTTGACCTCCATCAGATTCATTTCATGACAATATTTTCTGCTTGATGTTTTAGTGTTACTGGTATTACCAGATATTTGTACATTTCTATATCTATAAAATTGTCTGAAATAGTTTCTGTACATCACATGCAGATATATTACTAACAGTTCATATAAATCACTGAGGCTTTGTAATGCAATTCTATGTTATGTCTTTTCATAGGAGGCCATTGACAACTTCCAGTTCATTTAATGAGAACACAATTAGGCCGTTTGAAAGGTATGTATTAATATAACAAATATTAAACCCCTCAGTATCTCAATTCTGCATAACAAAAGAAGGATGCACTGGGTTAAAACCAGTTTTACAAGACATGATGGCTGTATTTAATACTATAATAGCCACTATCATCTTGTAATGCGACATGTACTTCACCTATGTAGACCAACGACATCAGATTGGAATTTTTTGTGTCACTATGACTACTGTATTTGCTCTATTAGAAGTGCACATAAACAAAAAAAATGTATTTTATTGTATGCTGGGTCATGTGACTTACTTTGATCATACACCTGTCATTTACCTCATAGAGCATATACGGTATTGCTTTTATAATAGCTGAATGTTATTAACTTTTGAATGCAAACATTTAACATAATCTGAGCCTTCAATATAAGGCCCAGTTCACATATCCATTCCCATATCCTCTTACTCCATGTCACCCCAAATGTGATTATTATACACCACATCTATAGTTTATTGTTATACCATGAATGCAATAGGAAATCATTGTGATAGTCAATCAAACATAATATATAATAGTTAGTAGCAGTGTGGAACACCCCTCTATTGGAGTTCACTTATACTACCCCAACATCAAACACAATTCTCAGCCTGCTTGCCTACCATCCCACATGCTTGCCTTCCAGTCATCCCATATGCTTGCCTGCCAGTCATCCCACATGCTTCCCTTTCAGTCATCCCACATGCTTGCCTGCCAGTCATCCCACATGCTTCCCTTCCAGTCATCCCATATGCTTGCCTGCCAGTCATCCCACATGCTTGCCTGCCAGTCATCCCACATGCTTGCCTGCCAGTCATCCCATATGCTTGCCTGCCAGTCATCCCACATGCTTCCCTTCCAGTCATCCCATATGCTTGCCTGCCAGTCATCCCACATGCTTCCCTTCCAGTCATCCCACATGCTTGCCTGCCAGTCATCCCACATGCTTGCCTTCCAGTCATCCCATATGCTTGCCTGCCAGTTATCCCACATGCTTCCCTTCCAGTCATCCCACATGCTTGCCTGCCAGTCATCCCACATGCTTGCCTTCCAGTCATCCCACCTGCTTGCCTTCCAGTCATCCCACCTGCTTGCCTTCCAGTCATCCCATATGCTTGCCTGCCAGTCATCCCACATGCTTGCTTCAGTCATCCACATGCTTCCCTTCCAGT